TATAAATTATGGAAAAAAAACTCTTTAATTGCATATATTACAGATTTTCGTGTAGTCGGAATATCATATTATTGCAAATCTTCTAGCCCAAAGAACATGACATGGCATGCAATCCTTCGGAATTCGAGCAGTGCAGGAAGGCTAAACTAACAGCCTCTCAAGACATCGATAGCCAGCCAGAAGAAATTGTTCCGGACAGTCGGCAGCAACATTGCCTTTCGTCCATCATGGACAATCATGTTGAACCAGCAACACTCCAGCTCGGATCATATTCGAAATTGATAGCCGACCAAATCAAGTATCAGTACTTTGGATAAACAAAAACACAAAATGAACACATTTGTGTCATACATGATAGAGTTGTATCTAAGTTCGAAATCAAAATTTTCAAATTTAAATGCCCGTGATATCTGAAAAAGATAGCAGAAAAGGGCATTGGTACCCGTTACAGATATTAATACTCTAAAATCTCCCTCTGCCTCTAAATCCACCACCACGGCCACCACCCCTAGGACCACCTTTGCCACTTCTTGGGGCACCCCTTCCACGAAATCCACCACCTCCACGACCACCACCTCTACCGCCACCTCTGCCTCCTCCACGACCACCTCTTCCACCACCTTGTACCAGCCCCCTACAACATTCCATAACGTGAAATTACAATTTTTCAGAATCACGGGAAATTCAACTGAATAGATAGAATGCACATGTATGTACATACACACACATACACAACTACCAATGACGACCAAAATTTGTAAATCAAACCAAAGCATACAAGGAGGATGGCAACAGGATGGAGCCGTCTTTTTGTCCGCCCAGCCTCCGACCTGATTTTCAAATATCTTCACCCAATATCCATCTCAAACCTATACTTAACCGAGTTCTAGCACCTAAAACCGGCAGGAAATACAACTCCCCTAGCCCTAAGCTTGGAACTCCATTTCTAAATTTTCTACCAACTAAATCAAATACAGATCATAGAGTTCAGTAAAAATTAAAGAACCAATAACTAGAATAAATAAGATTAGTTGTAAATTAGAAGAGAAGGTATTTTAGTAGATATTTTGTGTTCAAGCAATGCAAATTTTATCTAAAACCACCCCAATGTACTCTGAAACTTTCAATTTAAAAATCAACATGCCCTGAACTCGAATTTCAAACAACCATTACTATAGCATTGGGTTGTGTTAAAACCCAAACGGTTCGGGGAGTTTTCACGATGGAAGATCGTAGAGAATATCAGTTCAAAACAAATCCAAGACATAACCATCAATCCGATGAATCAAATCAAAGCCATTTCGAAACAGATGTGGAAGAATATAAGGAAAGCAAACATACTTTCGTTGTGGAAGAAATCTTGCAAGAGGCAAAAGCTTGCTCAGGTCAATATAGAATTTATCGCGGGGGGTGTACTAAGTCGCTACAATACCTTCCAACAATTTAATCGAAAAATACTGCAACAAGCGACAAAGTAAACAAACCAACTCACATATAGAAGTCCCAACACTTTTGACAAGCAATGCATAAGAAAATAGCAATAGAACTCACAGATTCATTGATCGGACCGAAGATCTCACCAACTTTCCCGATCTGGGTCTTGTTTTGCAAATAGATATTAGCATTAAAGAAAGGTATTTTCTCATTAGTCAGCTTTGTCACTGCATCACCCTCACAAGCATGAAGGAATGAAGATACCTCTGCATATATTACAAAAAAACGAAAGTCAAGTTGTTGCAGACTCTTCCTATTTCTTAAAAAGATGTCCGACATATTTTCGGACATGAAATTGAAGATACGACCCTCCAAGTATCCACTATATATATATATAGAGAGACATTATTATAATTATCTCTAAATATATAGGATAAAATTATATATATTTTTCGGATCGGGTCGGTCAGATTTTTTTCACCCTAAACCCGACCCGACCCGACCCGAACAGTACATTTTAAAAAAAATTCGACCCGACCCGACCCGAACCCGATTTTTTTTTAAAAAAATCCGACCCGATCAGGTCGGATCAGATCGGAACCCATCGGATTCGGGTTGAGTTGCCATCCCTAGTTTATACGTGAGCAAAAAAAAACAGAAGTAGGGCTTTGAGGTTTCTTAGTAGCCTAAATTACTAAATTATCCTTTACTTTTTTTTTTAAAATATATTTAAATAGATTCGAATTCACAAATTTATAAAACATTTATTTAACTGTTTGAATTGTATTTTGATATTTTTGAATTATTTAAAAATGAAAAAAATATAATTGAATTTAAATAAGTAATATTAATTTATTGATAAAATTTAAATAAAAATAATATATATTTTTTGTTTTGTTAATAAACAGACTAAAGTATTCGATGATGAATTATATTCTTATTAATTTATAATATGTTCTTTTTTAATTTATAAAATCATTTTATTTATTAATTGTGTATTAAATACTATTATTATATTAATTAATTGTATGAATATTTACCATTGAGATTGTAATATTAACTTTAAATAAAATAAGAAAAACAAATCAGAAGGTTAAATGGAAAAGACACGTGGTTATTTTACTTAAATAATACTCCATCTTTTAGTTATTTAACCAAATAATATTAAAACTGATTTAAAAATAATATATTTTTCTAACACATGAGGTAAAGACATGTCATATTAGTAGCGTTTTTCGAATGTCTATTTTATAGGATGCACCTCCATTTGATAGGAAGTTCGATCAAAATTTATTTATAGTGATCAAGACTAAAATGAATATATAAATATAAAGATGTATGGATTATCTTCATCATTCACTGAATACATGTTTAGAAAGTTATATTTAAATATTTAAAGAAAAATATTTAAAAATATGAGATTTGAGATTCCCATAACTAAACTTGTTAATTTTAAACCGTAAAATACATGTCCTGAATTTAATTAGATTAACGTCAATACGATAATTAAAGAAAAGTTTTATATATATCAAACATATTTCTTTTTGGATAATTTTTTTTTCATTTTCCCTACTACTTTTTCTTTTCTTCTTTTGATACTTGTCATGTACGGATGGCAACGGGGCGGTTTCGGGCCGGGGATTGGTCCCATCGTCCCTGTCTCCGTTTAAAAAATTCGTACCCGTCACCGCTTAAAAAATCGCGAGGATTTAAACGGGGATCCCCATCGGGTAATCGGAGAAAACCACGGGGAAACGAGTATATTCGTTTAGCATAAACGAGTAATTTTCACCGCGGGGATAACCACAGTGAAAATTACCCGTTTAAATAACCGTTTACCTTAGATGGTTATTTTCACCGCGGGGATCTCCGTTACCGTTTAAATTTCACACGATGACACGAGTTATTTAAAAAATAATGTCATTATCAGATCTAAACTTACTTGAAACGCCAAACACCACCAAATGCATCCAAAATATAAAAACAAAACAATTCAAATAGACAAATATAATGACGACTAATAATATAATGTTTCAACTTTCATAAACGAAATCATTCTTCCAAAGTTCCAACTTTCAAGTCACGTCAACGACACTACCATCGTCATCAAACAGTTGTGACCCCCGATTGCTACAATTACACACACAAAAATTATAAGCCACCAAAATTTATATAAAAAAAATTAATGATATCACGTATAACTTGTATATCAATTTAGTACCTCGTCATTATCATCACGATCATATTCGATGCTTTTACAATATGCTTCGGACTCTTGTGAACAAGTTGATGTATTTATTAATTTATATAACATATCATATCAATAATACAATTGAAAAAATAAACTTATAAGTAAAAGAAATGATTGATTACCTCTTATTTCGTTTATATCATATCAAGATCGGCGAAACAAGACTTGAGAGCAGTCGCAGGTAAAGTGACGAGTAGGTTAAGATGTGTTCTCCTAAATCCTAATCTCCTTTATATATATTTTTTAATTTAAATTAAATTTACTAATATTATATATATATATATATATATATATATATATATATATATATATATATAATTATTTTTAATATTTATCAGGGCGGATATTTGGGGCGGGATTACCAAACCCGTCCCCGTCTATCATCCCCGAACCTGACCCGTTTAATTCGATTTTCGATTTTCCCTAACAGATTCGATTTTTTTGCCGTTCCTATTATCATGTCAATTTGATCGTGTTTTGCTCGAAATCTAGAAATGTTATACTCAGCCAGTCATGTATTGTTTAACCAAAACTAAACAAGTATCAATTAAGTAATTTTAGTATTAGATATATATATATATATATATATATATATATATATATATATATATTAAATCTATAAAATCTAGAATATTATATACTTTTAATAATTTTAAAGATTGAATATAATATACTTCGACAATATTAGTATAAGCTTAAACTATTATTGTATATTATTACAATACTTATAATTCTTTATTAACTAATTTAATAGTTATTAACAATATTAATCAAATATCATATTAATATATAAAATAATAATTGATCATTTAGATACGGTGTTTGATATTCACTAATAATATAAACACATTTATTTCAATAATACATAAAATGATAATTCAAATACCTTACTATATATTTTAATAAAATATAAGTATCATGTTAAGTATCTAACATAATATAAAAAAATATTTTGTCAAATAAATCTAATTATATAAAACTAATTTACTAAAATTGTGAAAGATATTATAAATATAATACAATATAATAAACATAATTAAGATTTTAAAAAGTACAAACAAGACATAAATACACGAATGACAAACATAAGAATTATTAAGTCTGCTGTAAATATTACCATATTTCTTCGGGTGAAAGATTTCCCAGATCAAGAAGAGCACTGCAAATTTACTTGCAGCCATGAAATTTAATTAAATTCTTCAATCTCTCATTCCCTCTTTAAAAATTCATTCGTCCCCTTTCTTCATTCACATGTGAGAAGATTATATAGAAGGATTAACCAAACTCGAGACGAAAAATACTCAAACAGCTTTCGAAAACTGAACATTTTTGCATTTTTCTTTTGGGATTAAGTCAGAATGTACAGGTCGGAATTAGCAGACTGTCCGACCGTAACAAATCGACGCAATATATAGTTTTTAGCCCATTTTCCTGCAACATGGACAATAAAACCAGTGAGCAATGGGTGCATGGGTGTTAAAACGACATCAAGGGGAGAAAATACGGTATACCCACCTTAACATGGTTGCTTGGAAAGGCGGTTGTTCGCAGGGTTTCCTGAGTATCGTCCGTCGTGTTTCCCTTCGGAATACTTGGTATGAAGGCAGCTTGATCCGCAGTTGCAGCCATAGATGTTACTGTAACCACTCTCCCATCGCCGATGTATTCCTTCGCTTGGTTATAAAAAGTCGTGCTCCACTACCTTAAAATCGTTTAAATAAATGCAAAACGAAGCAAAATCAGCTACTTCGGAAATGAAGGGCAGTGGAAAACTGAAGATGTACATAAAGAACGAAAGAAAGGAGTACATGATCAGAGAATCCAGCGTTCCTTGATATTACAACACCTCAGCGAGTTCCGAAGGTGGTCATTGCTGTTACATGAAGACCTTTCCACTTCTTATTTTATCCATTTGAACGGAAAAGATTCACTCACTTTGTAGGATTGTTGGGTATAAGGAGCCCCTATGAAAACACGGAATAATATCGATAATGGATTTGTAGCTTACATGTTTTTGATATATAGGAATCTCAGATATGCTCGGAACACAATGCTTTCGATCTCATCTTGCAACCCGCAGGCTTGATAGCCGGTATACTTTCTTGCTAAAGGATTATATAAGCGTTAAATGAACGGTTTTCACATTTTTGTGCTAAATAAACTCGATGGCACTATTAGAAAGGTATTTTTTGCCTACTTCAAAATCTTAAAAAAGGAAATATATTTAGTACGTAACGACCAACCTTTCGACATAACAACCAAGGAACTCCCGTTATTTGCCCCAGCTATCGAAGTTATATAGTTGTTCTTTTCCCATTGCTCCATAATCCACTTCTGATAAAAGCCAGTTGATAGAAAAGTACGTCAAAAGTGCAAGTAAAGCAAGCAGAAAAAAAGACGCCAATTCGAGCTTTCGAAAGATAACCTTGTGCAGGAAGACTGTCGACAATTCATAAACCTGGGACGAGAAACCGGTTCCCGCATCCATTATCATAGCCCAGAGATTAGCTGCTGAGGCCACGCAACCCATCTTCATTACCCTTATTGACATGTTGGCTCAACCTCATATCTGCTACATTGTAGTGGTATCTACAAAATTGATATAAAAAAAGTTGAAGGTCAATGAATGACAGTTGAGAACTTCCCGAAGATGAACAAAGAATAAAGAAAATTTGAGCCTCACGGCTAGGTAACACGTATTTCACACAAAGTACAAGAAAAGGCAATGTTACCTTTGCTTCATAGGACAATAAGCATTGTAAACGGAGATCCATTGAGTAGCAGTATTACCAATTCAAACTTTTTTCTTAGGTTGTTCATCATCTTCCAAATTGATGACTATTCTTCCCCGCTTTTGTCCAACCTATATATACAAAAGGATATAAAGAAAGGTTGTTTAATTGAAGATCCTGTCAAAACCAATTTAATTGAGGGGAAACCTTAAGAGCTCCGTCGATTCTAATTGGTCGTAATGGCATGCATGGTTCAATTAGGCTATCAAAAAAGGATATGAGCTTGGCATAATTGGGCTCCTCATCAAACTTCATATTCGAAATAGCTTGAACTGCTTAAATGTAGAAAACAGTTGTAGCTGATTATTTTTGTTTGTACAGTTAGAGAATTAGTTAATTTGTTTTTGGTTAGTTACAAGTTAGTTAGATGCCTAGTTATTGTATAAATACACTGGCTGTATTATTTTATGATATACAGAAATAAAAATGAACTTTCCAGTATCCTTGAATTAGTCTTTTAACATTAAATGGTGGGGGACAGAAGCAACACATCAACTCGGCTGAAGTGGCCATTTTCTTCTTGCAGACCAGAAAACTCTTGTTATCCCCCTGTGAAGTTCCGAAAAAAGACGAAGAGTAAAGAGGAATGAAGTAAATCAGATTAGGAAAATCCGTAATCAAAACAACAAAACAAACCTGATAACCCTGCCATGGTAACCGTCCTCTTATAAGAAATATCAATGAGTATGCCGGTGACTCAAGGTCATCCCTACCACTTCCAGTCCGACCTAAATGGGCATGTAAACTAGCATACCTAATTGTTCCCCTGATAAAAGAAATATCAAAGATATTAACACCAAGAATAAGAAATAACCTGTTTATGATTAAAGAGAACGGTCTACGCACCTGAATACATCAGGCCTCTGATCATAACAAACATGCTGACCCGAGCGTCCATCTTTCCATCTAGAAGCTGATCCGGTAACACGGGAAGAAGACGGCAATTAATACCAACTAGCAAAGAGTTAAACAGAAGTGCTCATGCTTGAGACCGGAATCGAAAACTGAAGAGAACTTACATAAACCAAGATCAATAAGTTATAGCTTCTTCTCATCAGCTGATCCGGGTTGACCCAGTAAAAAATTCAGGCTTCACATCTCCATGCACAAACCTTATTTCAAGCACGTAATAATAAACAATGACAATCAGTTGCAACTATGCAAAAGAACAGAAGGGTGAATCTAATAAACTACAGAAGGTTATGATATGACCTACCCCTTAAATGAAGATTTTCAAGAATTGATACTGCCTCAACCGCTACGCAAGCAACCATATTTGGTGACATCCTGTCATATTACAACATGACACAAATTTGAAAGAGTATGGTCAAATCATGCAGACATGCCATGTGTAGGTACAACAAAGACAAAAGAGGAAGATTCTATTTCTTACGACTGTCCCAAGGAATTCCAAACATACCAAAGACTAGGACCCAGGATATCCATCACCTGAAATATTCATTAATGTTCTTTAGATGCATTAATTAATTCTGGACTTACGTTACTAAGGAGCGAGAAATTAAAACTCACCAGAACATAGAAGTCTCCCTGAATACCCTTGTAATGCACCCAAGGAATCCCATAGCACCCATTTAAGGTACTTGTCATTTAGTGAGGACATTAAAAGAAAAAAGTCAGAATTTAGATAATGCATTAAAATATGTAGAAACAAAAGCTTGACACAAAGTATTACGATTGAAAAAGCCATACTAGTAGACTTGGCACTTGTAAGGCGGACCATAGTTGCAACCTCTATTGTTACGGTGCTCAAGTTTCAAGGCTACCTGTGATTGAAAATTCTCATGTCGTTATACCCAAGTGGTTTGACCTGAAAACCCTTAAGAATGTGAATAAGTTTCTTGGACGTACATCGATTGCATCTGGTCCAGTTTTACCACTACCAAACCGCCCTTACCCAATTTCCTTTCTACCTTATATACAGGAGAATTACCCAATTGTACCTGCAACAAGTAACAAAAACAGTATTCAGTCAAGAGCTTTGTGGAGGTGAACAACAAAATAGCTACGTACATTTTAGTTGGAAAGAAAGTGAGGATTAAAAGACAGGTATCGAAATATACTGAAATAGCCAAGACTGGCTGCAGAAAAACATTAAAATCAAAGTAGAAATGATTTACCAAATAGCTTGAAGCATATTCAAAATGCTGAGATGAATGAAAATGGAAAATTTTGAATTCACTAGTTTTTTCTTGTCAGAAGTAAGGTACCCCAAGATACACAACTCAATATGAAAAATTTAAGTGGAAAAATTACATATTTAAAAAGGAAAGATAATAAGCAATATGGAGTTACCCTATCAGGGACCGGGGTTGTACTAGCTTCTCTGTTAACTCCGACTATTTTGTCAGCACTTCTACCCTCCATGCAATATCTTTATCGCCACGACCTCTACTTGGTTAAAAGCCGGCTCAGCAGCAACCAAAGGCGCAGTAGCCGGAAGAACTTGATAAGGCTCGGGGTCTAAATCTATCAACCTAATGCCCCGGCCTCTACCAGCCGCTGTTGGCCTTGTGGGTACCACTGGTGAGGGCCCTTTGGCTATACCTGTAGCTTTACCCCTCCCTCTTCCTCTCCTCCTGGTTCGGTTTTGAGCAGGCTGCACACAATCCTCCGCTTGATCAGCCGGTTGGGGAGGCTGTTGAATATCAAGGCGTTTCGATCTCTGGGCTCCTCTTCGCAAGTCTGGCATCTTCACCCCATGCAATTCACATTCCACTTAATTTCCTCACCGGCCCTTCAAAACTTAATACCGAAAAAGCAATCAATTTTACCGATATAGAAACTAATAAACACATGTCATATTCAAAACACCACATATTTAGAAAGTTCATATAATCAATATAAGTACATAATTCATGTACAGAACCATTTTTACAATAACAATACAATTATCAAAATCAGGAAACAAATAATTCTTCCAATAAATCATCCACTAAGTTCATTACATATTTGATAAAAAATATTCAAACTTCATAGATCATCAGTACCAGTCATTCCAACATCCAAAAAATAATTAAAAGAACTTATGATCAACAATTTCATTACCCATAAATATGATGTAAACGATAGAGAGAAAAAAATCAAAACTTTACAGAAAAGCTTTCCAATCTATAATCAGTTTAAACCAGATTTTTAGTGACCAAACAATCTAAAATCCGACCATTGAACTATCCATAAAAAATAATCAAAACAAAAGCCGATCATAAAAAAAAAACAATATAAAAAAATAACATCAATTACCTCACAAAACTCCACTGGTCAACCTCGATTCTTGATGAAATGTTCAGAAAATCATTATTTGGGCTTGATTAAAAAAACCCAGAATTGGAAAAAGGAAAAGAAGAAAACGGCGTTTTTATAGAAAAATTACCGGTGATCGGTATATTTATCTATCTAATACCGATCAGATTATATTTCTCGATCTAACACCCGTAGTAGTAAAGCGCGCTCTTTGTCCGTGCTATATGCTGATTTGACGTCACGTGAGGTATAGCGCCCCCTTACCGCGCTATATGCTGACATGACTTACACGTGGGTATAACGCGCCCCTGATCCGCGCTATACGTCACGTAGGGGTATAGCGCCGCCCTTGCTCAACGCTATACCTGAGTAATTATCTATACCTTTTATCTGAATAATTACATATAACGCGGTGCAGGTACCGCGCCTTATATGGTTATAAATACCCTTCACTCCCGGTTAAGTTTCTCACATCTCCTCACATCTCTCCTCTCAACTTATAAATTAATACAACAATTCCGTCAACGAGTAATAATTCTGATAATTTTCTCATATTTGATTTAGAAGTTCGTGCGATTTTTCGTTATAAATTTCGTTATAATTTTTTTTATTATACTTATTGTTTATTATGATTATTTGAAAAATATTATACTAATTATTTTCAATTAATTTTTGTGTTTGTAAAATTGAAAAGCAGGAGCATACGTCAAAATAGTTTTGCGGTGCAAGTAATAATATAAAATTATATTATTTAAATTATTTACATTGATGTGTAAAAAAATTTATTGTGTTATATTTTCGTTCATATATAATTTATTTAATCAGGTTTGTTTTAGTTATTTTTTTTTGTAAATATAATATTGCCGCACTTTTAAACTCAAAGAATGACGCGACTTTCAGCTATTGTTTATTATGATGGTGAAATTCGAGAAGATGAAACCGGCGTTGTTTTCGTATCAAATGAGCATGTTAAAATATCATTCAAGAGAAACATAACTCTTGAGGAGCTGATAACGAAGATTTCGAGAAAGATTCATGTTGGAAGTAGTAGAAGAATATCGTCGTTGCAGTACAGATTTCCAACATCATTGTTGCTATTAACTTATACAGCGTTCGAATTTTCGAACAATGATGATGTTCAAATGATGGTTGAAGCTCAAACTAATAACAATTTGGTATTTGAATATAATTTTAAATACAACAAACTTACAATAAGAATTAAATGGTAAATGATAACCAAATTACAATAACTGATATTAAATGGTAATAAACAAAATTAATTGAAATACATTAAAAAAAAGTCCAACAAATTTAACAAAATAAAGTAAGTATTAAATGAGAAATAATAAAAAATTACAATTTAACAAAATAAAATAAATACAAATATAAAAAAAATCTATCGATGTTTGCGACGCGAATGTGTTCCGCAGGGCGGTGGCTGTCGGTCTCGAGGAGGATTTCTTCGTATCACTGGTTCTGACTCCTCGCTATCATCATCATCACCATCGTCGTCGTCGTCATCGTCGTTTTCGTCCTAAGCAAGTACATTAGGTTGATGAGGAGCTGATGACGATGAAGCACCTCTATAGAATAAGGACCCTGGAGGTGTATGATTGACTATCCCACCGGCCTGCGAAAACTGAGAAAACTCATAAAACCCAGACATCGCTGAGTGTGAAAACTGTACAGGATGTGTCTGTGCTGCGACCATGGGTGATGAGACTGAACCCGCCAGATATCTAACATATGAACCCCAAGTCAGATATGCAAACATAGACCCATAATAGCCTCTAGGAGGGGTCATATGTGACGGTGGCGACGGAGGGGTCATAAAACCAGGTGAAGGCGGCGACGACGACAATTGGTAATGGAAAGGCGGCAGTATCATATATGGCTGCAGCATCATAAATGGTTGCGGTGGCTGCTATGAAGGTCCTGTTGGTGCAGCTGAGGATGAACCGGAAGCACATGCTCTCCGTCTACGAGTCGGGGGACGATGGTGCTGTGTTGGTAAACGTCTCTATCGACGTCGCGGAAAGGTCTGCCCTCGTGCATCCTCGGGAAGCAGAAACGGTTTCCCGTTACAGTTAAACCACTCGTAATAACCCTTAGCAACCATCAAGAGGTCATCAAAAATGGGTTCTCTACGGGAAAGACGTCGATATCGATCCTCCCACAACATGACCCACGCATGATAGCTCACCAGCCAATCTGTATTTGTCTTACCGTGTCTATATGTGCTATGCAACGCGTCTATCTGTGCTATGCAACTCGTCCATATTGCGAGGTGCTTCCGGAATTGGTTGAAAACAACCAAATTGCCGGAGCACGCGATCAGTAGAGTGCCACTCGACGGTCGCATAACAGATCAAGGGGACAGTCGCCATCCAAACATCTTATGGGTTCCTCAACTCAGGTGGGATCACCGCCCTCACATCATCAGTAGAATACGACACCCATTCAAACTAAAACAAATATTATATAATTTTTTTATCAAAATAATAATCTAATTATATAACTATAATATAAAATCGATTTTTAAACATTAAAGTTCATACTTGTGTGCCAGCCTTCTGATCGATTAGCACCCTAATTTTTTTCTAAATCATCAAGTAGCTCCTGATGATTTTTCCTATCAGTAGACCATCTATTCAAGGAAAAAAATTATTATACGCTGTATAAAATTATTAATGTACAAAATCAGTTTTATAATTACCTCAGAAGTAATAGAAATACGAATAGGTTCTTCACAACAGGACATAAAAAGGGCAACCGATACCATGCCCAAGACTGCAGCAGCAGGAGACAGCCGTCGATAGCATTACGCCTGTAGTCAGTGGCTCCACACATCTCCCTGTACAACAAAGCCAAAACTGCCGAGCCCCAACTGAATGATCCGGCCAGACGAAAGTCGCTAAGATATCATAACCACATGCAGTGAACTAGGTTGCACAATATGTCTGGCATCAACAACCCTCCTATCAACTGCAGTATGCATGCCTGTGCATACATCTTAACTTCATCCTCAGAGGCGTCTACGCTCAACTCCCGAAAATTAGCATCTAACCAATTTAACGGTATCCTACCTCCGATAAAACTTTCCGGGACACGTCCTAGATTATCCCGGCACAAAGTAGTCCAGGAACCCTGCGAGATCCCTGATATCACATCTCCATCCACCGGAAGCCCTAGGTGCATAGCAACATCCTCAAGTGTAATTGTGCACTCTCCGCACGGAAGATGGAATGTGTGGGTCTCCAGCCTCCACCGCTCTACTAAGGCAGAAATAAGGTCTGGTTCTATCTTACAGTGACCCTGATATCTACCTATGTAACCAAATCCAGCCTCTACTAAATACGACAAAACACGACTAGGTATCACTAACTTAAGATTCCTAATAAAAGGATCTAATACACGGCCCTTCTCTTAAAATTAAATAATTACACAAATTAAATTTTAATCTAATAATCATGCATTAAATAAATCAACAAATTATTACAAATAATTTAAATTAAATTAAAACGTTAAAATGTTACCGTATCAGCAAAGTGTCGAGATATATGATTTCCATCCAAGCGAAGTAGACCGCCTTCCATTATATATATGCAAAAAAAATTATATTAGTAAAATATTAAATAAAGTAAAATGCTTAAATAAATTAAATACATAATATTAAAAATATTATAAAATATACCGTAAACAGATAGAGTATTTGAGATAATTTGAGAGAATATGGTGTGATGAAAGTAATAGAGGGTGTGAGTATTTATAGGGAGGATTGGGGGGGGTAATTAAAGGTATAGTGCGCCCCCTGTACCGCGCTATACCCCACGTGTCAGATAAACATCTATAGCGTGGATCAGGGGGCGCGCTATACCCACGTGTAAGCTATGTCAGCGTATAGTGCGGATCAGGGGGCGCGCTATACCTCACGTGGCGCCAAATCAGCATATAGTGCGGGGTAAGGAGCGCGCTTTACTGCTACGGGTGTTAGATCGGGATATATAATCTGACCGATGTTAAATCGGTAAATATATCGGTCACCGATGATTTTTCGAGAAAAACGTCAAAGAAAACAATCTTGTTCTCTAGATGATTGGGGGATAGAATCAAGTGAAACTATGCCAAAAAATTAGGGCTATCGAAAGATATAGAATTTCTTCTTCTCTTTTTTAGAGAGAGAAAGATCGATTGAATCAAAATATAAGAGAAGACTGAGAAAAACAAATTCTATTAGGTATAAAGATTTGGGGGAGGTTCATTTATGTGCCGAACAAAAAGAAGAAAATAAATAAATAAAAATTGTGTTCAATGTGCAAATATAAATGGTAGTGATAGTGGTTTTTGTTGGTATTGTTCTTGGTTTATCAATACTATTATTTATTTAATTATTTTGAAAATATATAATTTAAAAATAAGTTAATTATAAATACAACCTAAAATGATAAGATACATTAGTTTTTTTTTAAATATAGGTTTTATTATTTTTCTTATTTTTAATAAATTAGAAGAT